TATATCTCTCTGCTTGTGTGTTTGTCTGTGTCTATGTTGTGTGTCTCTCTATGTGTGTCTCTGCAGCAGACTGCCAAACAACAGGGTGTGGCCCTTCTTTTGAACAAAAGAATGAAGGGGACGTGGGAGCGTGGCGGTGAGGTGTGGGAAGCTGTAAGCCCCAAGCTACTTGGGCTCGCCTTCTCATCAACCGGAGGCGAGGAGTGGTGGTCGTGGTTACTTATGCCCCCACCGAAGACGAACATCTGTGGAGGGATGCAGGCAAAGCCGATGAATCAGATGCCTTCTATGACCTCCTGTCACAGGTGCTGGCTAAAGTGGCCCCTCGGGATAGAGTCATCATGTTGGGTGACTTCAATGCCCGAGTTGGTCATGATGCTGGCACCTGATCTGGAGTGATTGGAGGGCATGGGCCAGATCAGCTCAATAATAACGGTAGGAGGCTGCTAGATTTTTGTGCAGCCCATGGGCTTGTAATTACCAACACGCTGTTCCGGCATCGGCGCATCCACACAACATCATGGATGCATGCCGGGTCCAAGCAAGAACATCTGCTGGACTACATAGTGACGGACCAGCGGATGCGAGCCCATGTCCTTGATACCAGTACCTACCGTGGAGCTGATCTGCCCTCTGACCATCGACTAGTCATCTGTAAGATGCGCCTGCCATTCTTCCACTCCGGTGGTGGGTGTATACCCAGGACCCCATTCCAACGTAAAGTGGCCTGGTCTCAGTTATCTGATGAAAGTTGCAAGCGAGAATTTCATCATCGCTTGCGGCTGGGATTGGCATCGTCCCCGACTCCTCCTGATGTCGAGGGTAAATGGGCGAGGTTTAGGACTGTGACTCATGCAGCTGCAATGGCTGCTTTGGGTACGCGGTCCAGACCTCCCCAGAGACCCTGGCTGACAGAAGAGGTGTTCAGGATGGTTGAGAAAAAGCGACAGGCCTACGGTCATCGGCTACAGAATCCCACGTCAGAGAATGAGGAGGCATACCGCAGCCTTCGCTCGGAGGTTCGGAGAGCCGTGAGGCGCTGCAAGGATGGGTGGTGGTCGTGGGTTGCTGAGGAGATGGAGTCTGCCTCAGTGGCCCGTGATCACAAATTTCTATTTAACTCCATCAAAAAAGTAACCTGCAGCGCCACACCTATTACCATCATTAGGGGAAAAAACGGTGATCCAATCTCCGACCCCCAGGAACAGGTTTGCAGATTTGCTGAGCATTTCTGTGAGGTCCTGGGAGAGGGAAAATCCCTCAGCCAGGAAAACATCGTGGCACAAAGTGAGGATGACCCTGCTGAGGCTGCGGTGCCTCAAATATTGGAAGAAGTCACCCCCTGTGAGTGGCTGGCTGAGGTGCCATCTGTTGAGGAAGTCCTGAAGGCGATCCGGAGTCTGACACCAGGAAAGGCACGAGGCAGAGATGATCTCCCAAGCGAAATGCTGAGGGAGGGTGGCGTTTGTGCACAGACTGCCCTATATGACATCATAACAACAGTCTGGACCACTGGACGGGTTTCGCAGGATTGGAAGGATGCCCTGGTGGTCCCCCTCTTTAAGAAGGGGGACCGCACAGACTGTAACAACTAGAGGGGCATCTCACTCCTCAGTGTGCCAGGAGAGGTCCTGGCAAGGAATATTCAACATCGCCTTGCCAGGCACGCTGAGGAGAGGCTTGCGGAGCCCCAATGCGGTTTAAGAAAAGGGCGGTCCTGCACAGATGCCATATTTTCTGTCCGTCTGCTACAGCAGAGGTGTAGGGAATTCCAGCAAGACCTACATCTCTGCTTTATTGACCTGGTCAAGGCCTATGATGCCATCAGTAGGCCTGGGCTCTGGGTTGTTCTTCGTGCTTTTGGAGTACCTGACCCTCTGCTCACGATCATTAAGGACCTTCATGATGGTGAGCGGGCCCGGGTAAAACTACGTGGCCGGGAGTCAGAGCCATTCCCTGTACACCTTGGGGTGCGACAGGGATGTCCACTGGCTCCTTCGCCGGTTAGAAACATTTAGGCTGGCCTGCCTACGATCCATCCTGGGTTTAACCAGGCCAGATTGTGTGAGGAGCTCACAAATCCTTGAAAGATCTGGGCACGGTCCAATCAGTGAGCTCCTCCGGCAGGCAAGGCTGCATTGGCTGGGTCATGTAGCCCACATGCCCAGCCATCGCATGCCGAAACAGCTTTTGTTCGGCCGGATCGAGGTGGCTAAACGGGCGCGGCACGGGCTAGAGAAGAGATGGAGTGATGTGGTACAGGAGGAAGTGGAGTTGAGTGGACTTGCCGATGACTGGTACCAGCGGTGTCAAGATCGGCCTCTGTGGAGAAGGCTCATGAAGGACGCTACTGGGCAGTAGGAGGCAGTCGCCCTCCAACAGCAACGCAGGGCGGAGGAGCGACGCTCACAACAACGAGCGGAGCGCCGGGTGGCTAAAGCACAGCAGGTTGGCACAGTAGGGGGCACAGGTGGTGCATCAGCCAGTCATCTCAGTCAGTCGACCCGTGGCACCTGGGTCTGCCCCGTGACCTCCTGCCAGCGGGCGTTCGACACTTCACGTGGCCTCAAGGTGCACATGGCCTGGCACAAGCGACGTGGTGACGTCACCGCCACTTAGTGGCGAATGGCGGTTGTTGTTGTTGTCTCTGTGTTATCTCTCTCTGCATGTGTGTCTGTCTGTGTGTCTATTTTGTGTCTCTCTCTGTGTGTCTCTGTGTTATCTCTCTGCTTGTGTGTGTCTCTGTGTCTCTCTCTGTGTCTCTGTGTGTCTGTGTGTTATCTCTCTCTGCTTGTGCGTCTGTCTGTGTGTGTCTCTGTGTGTCTCTGTGTGTCTCTGTGTGTCTCTGTGTTATGTCTCTCTGCTTGTGTGTCTATCTGTGTCTCTCTGTGTCTCTCTCTGTGTGTCTCTCTCTGTGTGTCTCTGTGTTATCTCTCTCTGCTTGTGTGTCTCCGTGTCTGTGTTTCGTCTCTCTCTCAAATTTAGCAATCTTTTGAAGAACGTCAATCAACCAGGTAGGGTGTTGACTGTTATGTTAGACTCTCTGTGTTGTATTGCATTATATTTCTAAGTTTACTAGGTTCGTTTTCGCTTTAATTTGTACCTGATGATGATTGCTTGTGTTGCAATCGAAAAGTCGTATGCCATTTTTTTTCTACGTGACTTTACCGAAAAAAACAAAGAATAAAAAAACAGTTTACAGTTTTAGAGTCTTAGATCGTAGGATTAACCGGAGGTGATTGTGTGAGGAGCTCACCGGATCTGTAAACAGGCGACGTTTCAGGCAATGACCCTTCCTCAGAGCAATATATGGTCAGGTCTCGTGGACTATTGGGGGGGAGGGGGTGGGGTGGCATGGGGGGGGGGGGGGGGGGGGTGAGGCACAGCTGCCACACTGACTGGGCCACTTCCAGGCCCTTAAAGTAACACAGAAAACAAACTGGGCTAAAGAAATAACTCAGATGTGCCGTTGCCACTGCTACAATTTACAGCGCCGTTTTTGTTTTGTTGGTGCCGCTGTTTGTTAGCGTGACTGCGCGTTCCGCTCTGGAGCCATATAAACTCGGCCCCGTTTCCTTGCCAGGATGTGTAGCGGCGCCCAGGAGGTTGTGCCGATCAAACGTTTCGCATTTATTTCTTAATATTCCATCACCCACCCGCCCACCCGTCCACCCGCCCGCCCGCCTTCCCGCCCGCCCCGACCTTGACTTTAATGTTGTTTTAATGCGCTTATATTATATCATTTATATAGATTCAAAACAAAAGTTAACACAGCAATGAACAGGGAAGGGGTGGGGCGGGGGGGGGGGGGTGCGGTGTTGTGGTGGGCGAGATGGAAAAACGCTCCGGGTTCATGAAAACGAAATCCGCGCCAGATATATATTATTTTTTTAACCACCGCATCAGTAGTTTTTGAAGGGATGTGGAGTTAGTCTGGGGAAGAAAAAAAATAACCCAGCGGGTAGCGTGGCCGCGGCGAGCCGCTCGCAGTCAAACAGGCGCTCTCAAACATCGCCGCTTTAAAAATGTACAAACCTAACGATATATGTGTACGTATACGGTAAGAGAGGCCGTCGCTGGTCTGCAAGGGGAAAACAAGAGGCAGCCCCGTCATGCTCACGAACCCCCCCCCCCCCCCCCCCCCGTGATCGCAGGGCGAACAGTAAATCTACCTTTTTGTGTTTCCTAATAAAATGTCAGCATAACCTGTTGTTATTTTTTCGTCACGTCCTCTGAAGGATTTCAAGAATATTCTGGTAAAATAATTACGGCAATAGACCGCGGTTTGAAGAGTCGAGACAGCGATTTGAAATGAACCAGGCCCAGCCAACTGTTATCGTTGCTCACACCTCTTCGGTGTCGCCATCTATTATTTTTTTCTGTTAAATGTCTAACGAGCATTGCCTTCCGAGATTTAAACGCGCCGTGCCTCCACATTCACCGTCGCCGACATCACCGGCAATGCCGCACCCCCGCACCTCCGATTAGCATGGTTGGCTCTGTACGGTGGGAAAGGCTCACACAGAGACCCATAGACTCACACAGAGACCCATAGCCTCACACAGAGACCCATAGACTCACACAGAGACCCATAGACTCACACAGAGACTCATAGACTCACACAGAAACACAGACTCTCACAGAGACCCATAGACTCACACAGAGGCCCATAGACTCACACAGAGGCCCATAGACTCACACAGAGACCCATAGACTCACACAGAGGCCCATAGACTCACACAGAGACCCATAGACTCACAGAGACACATAGACTCACACAGAGACCCATAGACTCACACAGAGACACATAGACTCACACAGAGACCCATAGACTCACACAGAGACACATAGACTCACACAGAGACCCATAGACTCACACAGAGACACACATACACACACAGAGACCCATAGACTCACACAGAGACCCATAGACTCACACAGAGGCACAGACTCACACAGAGACCCACAGTTTGTTGTCCTTCCCCCGCACCTCCGATTTGCCATGGTTGGCTACGTAGGGTGCGAAAGAAGTTCAACACACACACACAGCCGACATCGCCGACCACTCGGAAGCGGCGGACGTGGCCGGGGGCGGCCTTTGAACTCACCGAGGGCGCGGGTCGCTCGTACCAGGGCCTCTCCCAGCTTGACACGGCCTTGCGGTGGCCGCGGCGGTCTCGCAGCGCCGGCCTCCTCCTTGCCGTCACCGCCGTCGCGGCCGCCTCCTCCGTACTCACGCAGCAGGCGCGGGAAAACCCGCGCCGGGTGGCGGTCGGCCATCGTTGCCAGCCCTGTGTGGCACACAGAGACAAAGGTCGCCATTAGCGAGCGGCGCCGATGAAGGCCGGCACGGCCGCCTTCGTCTCACCGAGATGGCGATGTTCACGCACCGCACCGGGTACCCGTCTGAGGCCGAGTCGACGTGGGGGAGACCCAGGAGCGGATCACGTGTGCAAGGGGGCAACACTCTATCCCGGGGACAGACGATAGCGGTCCACAATTTGCTGCGCCGACTTTGGCTGGGGAGCCGGGGGTACGGCAGGAGGCACGTGGTGGGAGTAAAGTGTGAGAACTCCCACGTCCTCTTCCAAACCGTCTGGTCAGCGTGGGGGGGAGGTGGGGGTTCTCTTAAGCGCTGGTCCCTCCGTACCGCCAGCAGCTGACGGGAGCGAGCAGTTTCAGGGCTGCTCCTTCATACCTCTTTCCGCTTTAAAAAACGAAAACTAAAACTCAACGGACGAAGCGATAAGAGTTTGACAAGTCGCAGGCTGCGAGCCGGCTTAGAGTGAACGTGGCCTCACACGGGGAGGGGGGGGGGGGGGGGGCAAGCGTGAGAATCGGGTGACAGTCGTAGATTTGGGGCGAACGGACGATGACGTCCGATCGGGCAATCGATACGCCTTGGCGGCTCGACATATCGCCACTTAAAACCCCGTATATGTATTTTTTTAAACGCGAAATCCAGCCGACGGGTTACGTTTTCAATGAATTATGGACGAGAGATGTGAAGAAATGGTTACGCTTAAGCGTCAGTAATTCCTTTTCAAATCGTGACCTTGCGAGAGGCCCCGTGTAATAATGGTGGCATTGTGTGCAACATTGGCGATAATAATCTCACAAACGGCTTCGTCCCTCGCGCGGCTAATAACGCCCTTGCGTGGAATTTCGAAAGAGAGGGAAGGGTGGTAGTGGTGCTGGTGGTGGTGCTGGTGGGTGGTGGTGGTGCTGGTGGGTGGTGGTGGTGGGTGGTGGTGGTGGGGGAGAGAAAACGATTAACGTGAAATAATAATGGCCCGGAGCGCAAAACACAAAAAAATTAAATCCTGAGTTTTTTCGTTTCAGTAAAAAAAAAGTTAATTCATTTCGTCTTCAATTTCTGAAACGGTTGCATTGCATTTCAGGGCTGCTCGATGCAACGACGGTTAGGGAAGGGCGATGGCCACCTCCGCCGGGTGAATCATCGCCGCCCATGCGGCGAAGGTACGACGGACGAGAGACTTCTACAGGCGCACGAGAGAGAGGAGATCGCCCCGACGAGATGAGCCGACGGTCCCCTTGCAAGCACTAAAGAGGGCCGCCCCAGGGGCTAGTTTTTCTTGGCACGCGACCGACTTCGACCCAGCCATGAAACGTCCCTCGATGGCAATTCACATTTTGTGCGAGCGCGCGCGTGTGTTGGCGTGTGTTGGCGCGTGTTGGCGCGTGTGGGCGCGTGTTGGCGCGTGTTGGCGCGTGTTGGCGCGTGTTGGCGCGTGTTGGCGCGTGTTGGCGCGTGTTGGCGCGTGTTGGCACGTGTTATCGCGTGTTGGCGCGTGTTGGCGCGTGTTGGCGCGTGTTATCGCATGTTGGCGCGTGTGGGTGCGTGTTGGCGCGTGTTATCGTGTGTGGGCGGGTAGTCCTCCGGACATTTGCTTGTCACGTGTTCCATGCCGTGTTGTTGCTGCGTTCCCTTGCGCACGCAATGTGCGATTTTGAATGTTTGTTACTTCTCGTGTTGTACAAAGAACAAATTGTTTCATTTATTTCGGTTTCTCACCTGTGCACAATCACCCCCCTCCCCCGCCCCCCAGGTCTCCCTTGAAGAACACATCTGTCCCACAATGCAATGTTTCAGCAACATTTTATATTTGTGCTTTTTTGTTTTTACAAATCATGTTGATTTACTAGGAATACTCTTTATTAATGAATCGTTTGTCCGTTATTCGACAGCTACTATTCGGCAACTATTCACACCCCCGTTTAAAAACAAAACTGGTCATCAGAAAACATCTGCAAAAATTTGATTCTTATCCAGGCCCCACGGTGAAATAATAATAACAACCTCTATTTCATGAACTGCCTGTCATATTTGAAGTATCTCAAAGCGCTGGACATAATAATACAACTACACTCCCAAGTATAGATAAAATGTAAGCGAAACAGAAAGTTGATAATAACAATACTGTCAATTCCAATAAAGTTAAGAACTTTGATAAAAGCAAGCAATGAAAATAATGATTGCACAGTAATCCAATAGGTCGACAAAACTGCCTTTTAAATCCTAAGTTACAGGCAAAGCTTGCAGTAAAAACACGTGAGTTTTTTTGAAGGAACTCCACTCTGTCTCTCCACCGGCCCCTCTATTTATCTGCTATTAAGAATGGAGGCCACTCGACCGAAACGTCACGTAAAGTATACGCAGGCAATCCTCGGAACAACACGCTCCTTGCATCTCGACCTATTGTCGACGCACACGAGGCAATTGTCGGAATAACTCCGCACGCAAAGCGACATACCCACCACCTGGCACCGCGACCCCATTGCGTTGCCAGCAGCCGGTGCGGTACAATAACCGGCGTGCTACACCGGACGGCATCTCGCGTGCACAGACAACTCATCCCTGAGTCTCTCTCGTCGTGATGGTACACTGTCAAGTTTACTCCTCCACTCTCTCTCTCTCATCGTGATGGTACACTGTCAAGTTTACTCCTCCACTGTCTCTCTCTCGTGATGGTACACTGTCAAGTTTACTCCTCCACTCTCTCTCTCGTGATGGTACACTGTCAAGTTTACTCTTCCACTGTCTCTCTCTGGTGATGGTACACTGTCAAGTTTACTCCTCCACTCTCTCGCTCTCGTGATGGTACACTGTCAAGTTTACTCCTCCACTGTCTCTCGTCGTGATGGTACACTGTCAAGTTTACTCCTCCAATGTCTCTCTCGTGATGGTACACTGTCAAGTTTACTCCTCCACTCTCTCTCTCGTGATGGTACACCGTCACGTTTACTCCTCCACTCTCTCTCGTGATGGTACACTGTCAAGTTTACTCTTCCACTCTCTCTCACGTGATGGTACACTGTCAAGTTTACTCTTCCACTCTCTCTCACGTGATGGTACACTGTCAAGTTTACTCTTCCACTCTCTCTCACGTGATGGTACACTGTCAAGTTTACTCTTCCACTCTCTCTCACGTGATGGTACACTGTCAAGTTTACTCCTCCACTGTCTCTCTCTCGTGATGGTACACTGTCAAGTTTACTCCTCCACTCTCTCTCTCGTGATGGTACACTGTCAAGTTTACTCCTCCAATGTCTCTCTCGTGATGGTACACTGTCAAGTTTACTCCTCCAATGTCTCTCTCTCGTGATGGTACACTGTCAAGTTTACTCCTCCACTGTCTCTCACGTCGTGATGGTACACTGTCAAGTTTACTCCTCCACTCTCTCTCTCTCTCACGTGATGGTACACTGTCAAGTTTACTCCTCCACTGTCTCTCACGTCGTGATGGTAGACTGTCAAGTTTACTCCTCCACTCTCTCTCGTGATGGTAGACTGTCAAGTTTACTCCTCCACTGTCTCTCTCGTGATGGTACACTGTCAAGTTTACTCCTCCACTCTCTCTCTCGTGATGGTACACTGTCAAGTTTACTCCTCCAATGTCTCTCTCGTGATGGTACACTGTCAAGTTTACTCCTCCACTCTCTCTCGTGATGGTACACTGTCAAGTTTACTCCTCCAATGTCTCTCTCGTGATGGTACACTGTCAAGTTTACTCCTCCACTCTCTCTCGTGATGGTACACTGTCAAGTTTACTCCTCCAATGTCTCTCTCGTGATGGTACACTGTCAAGTTTACTCTTCCACTGTCTCTCTCTCATCGTGATGGTACACTGTCAAGTTTACTCCACCACTGTCTCTCACGTCGTGATGGTACACTGTCAAGTTTACTCCTCCACTCTCTCTCTCGTGATGGTACACTGTTAAGTTTACTCCTCCACTGTCTCTCTCTCGTGATGGTACACTGTCAAGTTTACTCCTCCACTCTCTCTCTCGTGATGGTACACTGTTAAGTTTACTCCTCCACTGTCTCTCTCGTGATGGTACACTGTCAAGTTTACTCCTCCACTGTCTCGTCGTGATGGTACACTGTCAAGTTTACTCCTCCACTCTCTCTCTCGTGATGGTACACTGTCAAGTTTACTCTTCCACTGTCTCTCTCGTGATGGTACACTGTCAAGTTTACTCCTCCACTCTCTCTCTCGTGATGGTACACTGTCAAGTTTACTCCTCCACTGTCTCTCTCTCGTGATGGTACACTGTCAAGTTTACTCCTCCAATGTCTCTCTCTCGTGATGGTACACTGTCAAGTTTACTCCTCCACTGTCTCTCTCATCGTGATGGTACACTGTCAAGTTTACTCCTCCACTCTCTCTCGTGATGGTACACTGTCAAGTTTACTCCTCCACTGTCTCTCTCTCGTGATGGTACACTGTCAAGTTTACTCCTCCACTGTCTCTCTCATCGTGATGGTACACTGTCAAGTTTACTCCTCCACTGTCTCTCTCGTGATGGTACACTGTCAAGTTTACTCCTCCACTCTCATCGTGATGGTACACTGTCAAGTGTACTCCTCCACTGTCTCTCTCGTGATGGTACACTGTCAAGTTTACTCCTCCACTCTCTCTCACGTTGTGATGGTACACTGTCAAGTTTACTCCTCCACTCTCTCTCTCTCACGTGATGGTACACTGTCAAGTTTACTCCTCCACTGTCTCTCACGTCGTGATGGTACACTGTCAAGTTTACTCCTCCACTGTCTCTCTCATCGTGATGGTACACTGTCAAGTTTACTCCTCCACTCTCTCTCGTCGTGATGGTACACTGTCAAGTTTACTCTTCCATTGTCTCTCACGTCGTGATGGTACACTGTCAAGTTTACTCTTCCACTCTCTCTCACGTCGTGATGATATACTGTCAAGTTTACTCTTCCACTCTCTCGTCGTGATCGTACACTGTCAAGTTTACTGCTGCA